GGTGCTGAAATTGACACAAAATTTTGTGTCAAAAGTGGATAGTTCGGCGATCGTGAACGATACCTCAGCATTGATAATCCAAGATGGATTGAGTAGATTAGCCTCAGTGACCATGGAAGTTGATTTAAAAAATTTATCCCTACTTATTCTTGCAAAATTGATGCATCTACAGTAGGTAAGGTAAAAAATGATGTTCAGCTAAAAAGGCAACGGAAAATTTAAGGGCCCCGCCAGGTGAAAACAACTTGTTCTGAATTAGTTGTCGGCATTCCTCCTGGGTAGCATTGCTGAAAAATCTCCTACATTCTTCCTTTTCGCCTAGTACCAACCAGATACCGCAGAAATCATTTACAAAAGACACTCATTCACTAAGGAAAACTGATAAGCATATTAAAATACTGCTTTGCTTAAAGTTCCGTTGACGGAAGCAAGCTAGGTGATCCGTTACAAAGCAGGTACTCCGTAATAAAGTAATAGAGCTTGCCTGACTACCACCGGCGGGGTTAAATGGGTTACAGACCCTTATATTTACTAAATATCTTGGGTTCCTGTTACTCATTCTTCGAGCTCGGCGTCGAGGGGACATACAGTCAACAAACCGCTGATGAGGTGAAGCTCCGCACGCATTCGAGCCATGCATCGTAAAGCTTTGTGCCTAGGGAGAGATAAGCGCTCACTACATGGACTTGAGCTTAAGAAACTATGAAAAAGTGTTCAGCGTAGTTAGCAGGTTGCAAAAACTCATCGGTAACGACAAGTGGACAAAGTGGGAAGTATAAGCAGTTAGTGGGAAAGAGTCTCACAACACGTTCGCCACTGGATACGATTCCGGGCCGGATCCCATAGCGCTTCTAACCAGGTTTGTTCACTCTTCTTGGGTTCCCAACGCCGGAGTTTGAAACACCCACTGTGGCCAAATACAATCTGAGCGCCTCGACACTTTGGACCGAGGTTGTATGCCCGCTACTTTTCCGTTGGTTCCGATCAACGCCGGCGCTTGCTAACAAGGCGCGGTGAAGCAATCATTGAGCAGACTTAAGGAGAAGGTGCCCGAGGCTCTGGAGCACAATCAAGGCAATTATGTAGCTGAGTGGTAGGTGGAGTCTCGAACCTCGTCATTGGTTACTCACTGTTGCCAACACACATCTGTGATGTTCTGGAGGCAGCGGGGCTCACAAACAGGCACTTGATGGACACTGATCGGTCGTAGGTAGTCTTGTTCATAAGTAGCATTGTTGCCTCGGCGTCTTGCCGGAAAGCGGATAGAACGCCGAAGACATGGATGTCGGAGTTTGGCAGAAGCTAGTCTGGCGTCCGTGATGTGCAAACTGACTTCAACCGTTAGTCCGTAAACTACAAAATAATTGGTTACTTAAGACAACATTGCAGGTCAAATCTGTTGGCACGTAAAGCAGTTGCAAAGATTGATAGTAGCTGCTCTATAGGCATCATCCGTACACTGCAGGTTACTAGAGATCGTCAAACGTTACAACACTTTAGTTATCATTTTCGGTCGCTCTGTATGTTCTATGTTCCTTACTTTAAGCAGTTTGCTGCACAACACATGTTGTATGTGGACCACGGTAGATAAAGCGTTCGGTTGCCAATGTACGTCCACCACTTTGGATAATCGCGCATTCCTTCCATTGTCCTGATAAGAGAAACCCTCAATTCCTACGCATTCTCGGAAGTTGCTGAGGAAATCACTCTGAAAGTCCTCATGGTTGTGCACAAAAGCGCTTGATTGCAAACTCAGACTCGTGGGCCGCACAGGACAGGATGACTATGGCCTAATGACGGGATAGTTAATAGTTAGTTAATTACTTAGCTAGTTAGTTAATAGTAGTTAGTTAATAGTTATGTAACAAACCAGGTTGGAACACATAAATGCACTGCGAACCAAGGGTGTGAACTGCAGCCGTCATATACCTTGTCTCACTGAATCCATCGTGCCACCCTCCGCAGATTGAATCCCGTTAGCGCTGTGTGTAGTGTGAAGCCGAGGACATAAAACGTCAAGTAGTCGTCAAGACTGGCTGCTTGGGTGGTTTGTTAGCGTGTTAGTGATGAACCTCCACCTAGCAAGTGTCGACCACCATACGCTTTGTTTTACCTCTGACACCGGTATTGGATCTGTGTGTATGAGGGAGATAGCAGGATAGATGGGGGTAAGGTTGGAAGTGTGGAAGAGAGCTGAATGATACGCCACTGAGTTGCTATCACCGGTCTACCTATCAAATGCACAAGCGTGGCGTCCAAGGTGTGATACGGGTAGTTCATTTTACTTTGGAGGACTTAGACAGTGAAAATTTCTGGCAATTCTCTTCCAGCTCGAAACTCTGCATGGCAAATTAATAGGATGCACATAGAGCAAACACTTATGTTCCGAAACAAATTGGTAGTGAGGAACAGAGAGAGAGAGGAGGAAGAAGAAAGACCGGTGTAGTTCACATGTGGAAAATGCGGGTTACCCTAGCTGAAGTGGGCGATGTTGGGCGTTCATCCACCAAGATGTGTACAATCGTGGGTTTGACATTTCATTATGAAATGACATTTTCCCTCTTGCTGCGTTATCATTTAATCTGATCCCACCGTTTCGGCGTCAAATGAGTGTAATTTAGTCCACCTTACTGCCCGTCCTAACCAGGGGACACTTTAAAGCTTGCACGAATTTTGGCCTCTAGATCAATCAACTACTAAGACTTAGATGAAACCTTGCCTTATTCGATCTTTGCTATATCAGACGCCCAACGTAATGATTTATCACAAAGAACAGTGTCACTTCAATTCTCCTATCTCAAGTTGAAAATGATTTGTGTGACCCGAAATGAGTGTACAACAAAATAGCATATTCATATAAACTGCATTAGAAATGTAGGTGTTCATATTTGCAGGTATATTATGTGGGATAGGGTGTCTTCAGGGATCATTTGTCTTGGGACATTACAACGTGGAATCAAAATTTGCATCCAAAACTAGTTAACTCCATAGGAAAGAAAGAAACTTTATGCGGATGAATGCTTAATTTTATTTTGTTTTTCGCTTCGGGAAGGTCTGAAGTAAGGTGTACCATAGACAACTTGTTAGATGTTCATTTATACGGATGTATGACGAACACATCTGAGGCTGAGACTGTAGTTAAGAGCAAGTAGAAAGTTTTTCTACAATATCGAATTATGAAAAATCAAAAGCATTTGATTGCGAATCGTCAGCGGTAGTTTTTGGTTAGTTAATTGTTTATCCTTCTTCGGTTAGGAATTTGCATTGGTGTCATTATTTCCGGGTATAGGATGTAATTTTTCCATTGTATGTGCACCGTTTCACAAAAGCACTGGTTTTCGAAATAATCGTCGATACGTGTTTTAAAATGCTTCACGGAATCGGCCTCTATTAATCCTTCTGTTAATGTATTCTATGATATTACGATTCTTCTTTCTATACAAAGCTGATGTGACACCTTGTTCTGTCAGGGGACCCTGAGTTTGTAATGATGTCCTCGGGTGTTACATGGTCCCTGCAGGTGAAATATTGATCGCAGTGATGGTGAAATGATTCAAGTGTATTATTCGATGGGTCATAATAAAGTCAATTCATACTCGGTGGTAGGATAGTGTGTAGAATCCGCGCCTTTCACAACGTTTTTCATACAGAAGCTTTCATAGACTCGGTATCATTCTAGTTGTGATGTGCCGCATTGTTTCCAGCTTTTTACTTTCTCACTGGGTTATCGGATGGTAAGCTGTAGCGCCGTGTTCAAGCATTGGTCTAATGAGCGAGGTGAATAGGCAAGGGACAGTTTCTTCAGACCATGAAGAGAATCTGCCTTAATGTCCAGAACATACGAAGTCCCGCACGGTACAATTTCTCTGTATTTTCTAATGATTCATATCATGTTGTGAGAGCACTCCTAAATCTCTGACAGATGTGTTGGGGTGGAGCAACTGGCCGTCCAAGGGGTATGATCGAGTGGCCGGACGTCTGGTGATACTGATAAACTTCCACTTGGTTGCGATAAGCGGGAGTTGCATTTCAGCAGACCCTATTGACAGTCAATCTGAGATAGGCTGGAGGCGAGCGCAGTCGTCCTGGCTCTTAATGATCCTCTAGATTTTCAAACCATCTGCAAACAGGCCACATGGTGACTGGAGCAAATATGAAACTCGTTTCGCCTTTTTAACAATGATGTTCCCACGTTGGTAAAATCGAGATATCTTGCCTATAAGATATAACGGACAGTAATTTATAATTCCATAAATAACGCATAAAGGCCACCAAAAAGAATAAATGGTATTCGTGAGTTCTCCCACGTGGTTTAATCCTATCAACATGTCGAAACAACACACTGAGCATTCAGACGTTTCGACTCAAAATGTAATCCTTAACGGCTACAACATCAGTATCTTTATCAATTATCTCTCTCGAATTGCGAAGGCTTTCCATCAAATCGCACCAGACGAATATGACACGGTGTCCCCCGGATAAATTACAATAACGGATACCTTATTTTCCCTGTTCTTCACATCCTTAGCTGGTACACCGGCTCACTAATCTTATGGCACATGTAGCCTCACTTACACCAATCGGGCACAGCTATTTAAAAAGTTGGAGAAGGACACATTGCGGATTTAAAAACCCTATTCAGGCTGTAATACATTAAACAAAATGTAGTGCTTTAGACTTACTTTCTTTTTGTATCCCAGAGAAAACCTCAATAAGGAAACTGCAGGGGACTGGCGTATTTTCAAATATTGTGTGCTGACTTGCTGGTTGTCTTTTGTTGTGGACCATGAAAACCGAGGAACATCCGTCCGGGAGCTGACACCTCATTAACACCAGATGAAGATCCAGTTTCACTGAATGTTAATCCAACACAAAACCATGGTTTCTACTGTCTCACCTCGAACTCTAAATGTGGCCGTAACTCCAGCCACGTTATCTGATTGAACGCCAGTACAGAGGCGGTAATTTTTCAATTCAACTTTCTTCCGTTTGTCCCTCAGGTAAATCATTCAACATTACCATAACAGTCGAAACCACGCCTCCTCTAGTGGCCATCTACGCCCGAGCCATCAAGGTCACTGTTGACGGACCGAGAGTTCCACGGAACAAATATTGTAAGTCCCCATCTTTAAAGTCACAATCTCCCAGTGCACTAGTACATTATCACATCAATTCATCACTGTGCGATGGCTTTCAAGTTTTGACTAGTCAGAACCGCGTAGTAAAGAGACTTAAACACCACCATTATTATGCACTGAAAGCATTGGATGATTCTTCGTTTTATTATCATTTTCACGGGGTAAAATTGCTCAGTCTTTTCTGTTACGAGTCCGGAGGTTCTCTGGTCCAACCAAACGAGTGCATGCAGTATGGGAGACGGACAAACTTAGGGTAGCTGCTACTATACGACTTTCCAACATAGATGTTGTTATACTGTCAAGTTACTAGTGATAATAATAGTACGGTTTTCCAGTTTAATGATAGTGTTAAAACCACATTCTATGTAACAGCTGGACATTGAAGCGCTTCATTATTTGAACACTTTCGCAGGACGGCACTAGGTCACATTTATTTGCAACGAACCGTTTACTGTTCCAACGATGTTAAAATATTGGACATATAAATTCGGCTATTGTGTTTCAGAAAACCGATAGTTATTTCTATGCAATCGAACTTTCACCGATGTATCCTCTTAGCATTTAGTAAATGTAACTTGATGCTTTCATGCATAAACCGCCGTAAGAGAAAATGCTTTTCTCATGTCTAACACTGGCGATTTTATCGGCTAAATTAGACATCCCTCAGCTCAAAAAGCACTGTGCTGTTATACAGCGTAGCACAGACCGGGACAGGTTCCCCATGCTTATCCAAAAGAGGGATATAGACTTCCCCTTTTCAGCAAATATACACTCTCCTTTAAACCATAAGAGGAGTGACACTGTGGGGACGGACGTTCAACAAATCTCTGGGTACCCATGCTTATCTCTGATAGTGATGACAGAGGAATTGGTCATTTAGAATAGAATTTCCTTCGAATTGATTAATCGCGTGAAGACCCCTTCAGCGGCGGTTGTGGTTGATCGGATACGCGTATGTGTGACTTTCTTTACAAACCAACTTCTATACCCAACACTATTCAGAGGCTACTTTGAACATCATTTGAAGTATCTTTTCCAAAACTACGGCCCGATTTCTGGCTGGTAGATAAGATGTTCATCAATAATGATGGAATAAAACCAACAAAGGACATGCGTGTGTGAATCCATTCCTTCTGAAGACATTACGTGTTCCATTTGACGAGATTGTTCACAATTGACTCTTGTATGGTGCAGAGTGAAAGAGGTTGTGAACAGATAATAGTTTCGTCGGTACACTTTGATCCCTCCAAATTCTGCTACAATATTCCTTTCAATACTGCTTGTTAAAATCAGTTTGAGAGCCGCAGTTCTGTTTTCGGTACGTATACCATAGAACGAATCTCGGGAAGCTTGGGAGGAAACACATGCAACAGTTGACATTTGGTGACGGAACTCAGGAAACAGTGAGATCAGCCAAAATCGATCTGAAATATTGCAAACTGTGATAAACCTTCTATGTATGGGCAAATGCTAACAGAGTTACATTCACCGTTGTGCGAATTCATCCTTTCTATGCATTGTTTGGCAGTATAATGCCTCAAACAACAAATAAGTGATATCCGGCAGTCTCGCTTTTGGTGCGTAATTACTTTTGTCTTGAGAAAATCGCAAACCCACATTACTCAAGGGTTAGTGTGTTGATTTCTCCACATTTTAATATATGAACTTTTATGTCTTGCCGAATTGAACAATGCACAGCTGGTAGCTTTTTCAGCATCTACTGTCTAAAAAGGCAATCATGTTGGTTAAATGCCTTTACTCTTGCTCCGAATTAATTAAAGCATGTGAGTATTTTACCACTTGCTACAGAAACATGCGGACTGTATTGTCATAGAGCATCATATCAATGAAATTTAGACTAGAAACTTCTTTATATCACACATTGCCGCCTAACCCCAAAGCAGCTGAGCTCTGACGTCCTGGAACTCGCTGATTACCTAACAAGCTTTGCAATTTTTGGCCAATTTACTCTTCTTAATCGCAGACACCTTTTGCATACGGATTTTCATAATTGTATCTGACCAATGTGCGGCGGGACCTTCAAGTTCGGCCGTGCGTTGTGATGCTTTCCACCAGATTTATCCACACGCACACACACACGCACTACCATTCACTATATTTTACCTTTTTGTTTTAACCCACCAGTTTTTCATTGCGCATATCGCGTCATCATTACCTACGCTCGCGACGTTTTAAAAATTTTGGGTGCTTTCACGAAAGAGAACCCAGCACTTTTTCCCGGTCAATCTGTACGGAACACATGGAAAAGAATCAAAAAAAGCGAAGTAGTTCCCCAAGAATGCACCGCGCAGGATGGTGGGTTGCACTTGGAAGGAAAAATCTCGGCCGTATGAGTGTACCTATTTTGATTAGTGCCAACATCCGTTCGTTTGTGAGCACAGTACAGGAGCTTCGACTTATAACAAGCTGTTTCGAGTACACCCAACTCGGAGTCATTATGCTACAACAAACATGGATGCACAAGGACCTAGAAGATACACCTGTTGCACTTGACGGATTTACTGTGCAAAACGTCGAGCGCCCATATACACAAAGGCACCGTGGCAGTGGCATTATCCCCTACATCGACAAAATTTATTTTTCGTCACTAAGCGTAGCGCGTTAGCTTTTTAATTGTGAAATGCGAGCCTTGATACTTGAGTGGCTATCGTTCAAATTCTCTTAGCCAACATTTATATTTCTCCCAGCTGCCGTGTAGCCGATGCTGAACACTTTTCTGACGATTTTACAACTACCGTCATTGAACATCTAGATTTTTCTCTGTGTTTCTGCCACGGACTTCAATAGATTAGATTTTAGTTTTATTAACATTCTTGGACAGAAGAGCATCGTGCAGTCTGCAATAAGATTACAAACAATCTTCGACGAAGTGTTTGTTAATGGCTTATAAACATGTTCTCTTTTTACTAAGGCACCGCTTGGAAGCTCAGATCATGCCACCATAAAGTTGTCTCCCATAGTCTACGACAAAACTAAGTACAAAAAGGTTATTCGCTGCAAGGATCGCAAAACGCAAAGACAGTGTCTTCCCTGTAACTATGCGAAACCGTTGCCTCTACAGACTTCGATATATTTTACAGCTCTGATATACTGTGACCATGTAACCAGTCAGTTGCGCATTTGCTTCGATATTTGTTGTCCGATGGAAACCATGTTCATTTGCGTAGATAGATTTTCATCTCCGTGCCACAAAAGACTATGCAGACGCAAAGAAAAAGCTTACAAGCGCAAAGAAGCTGCTTCAGTAAACTCGTTATCGGTTGATATACAAATGAAATGGGCCGCCTCAACCATATGTATGTCCAAACTATACTTGGAAAGGATAATTGCCGAGAAATATGGAAAATGATGAAGAAGCTGAGTGGAGTAGTCAGAAGTGTCACACACTGCTCTCGATGTGGAGGAATTAGACCGCAACTTCTGAGGTCATACAAAGGATACAGCAATGCACTTACCATCTTTACCGTTGCAACTCACCCCACACACTTCAGCACCCATCGATAGCGTGACAGTTCACAAGGAATTAACACGGATACAGTCGTTCAAAGCGCGTGGACTAGACGGATTATCTCCCGTAGTCCTCAAGGAATGTGCCATTGTCTTAGAACAGTCTTTTTCGGAACTCTACACCATGTGCCTACATTAGCACGAAATAGCCGACTGCTGGCTAAGCTGCTGGTTCGAAATATATCGCTCCGCTCCCAGGAAAGTTTGTTCAGGTTTTCTCTGTCATGTATCGTAATTTTTTCTCTTCACTTGTTTAATCAGGCATTATTTGTGATTCCGAACTATCCAGTAATATATTTTAAACCATTTTCGGCAGTAATTCTCTCATTCTCGTCTACCTTGATTCTCGTCTGTCCTGGTCGTATTTTGCTCGTGTCCTCGTCAGGCCAGTTTATCTCGTTCTTTTCATTGTTAAAGTCGTTTTATGCTATAAATATTGGGGTAATTCACCCATATTAGTTATTTTGATTTAGTTCATCATAACTATCTGTACTAGTTTATTATAATTTCTGTGATTCTACATTACGCTGATTTACTCGTATCGACCGGTGCCTATTTTTGAAATGACAAAGCCGACACGTGTGGTATTTGCTCCAAAGTCGTTAGACATCGTGCAAATGCGATTACATGTAGTTTATGCAGCGTAAAGTTTCATATTCCGTGCATTGGTATGTCTGTAGACCCAGTCCGCATAATTCAAGGTATTCAGCATGACTTTTTCTAGACCAGTTGTAAGCAATGTCAGTCTAAACTTGGGCAGAATGGAGCCGAAAAGTCTGACAAGCGGATCAGTAGAGCGAAGTGCTCTAAAACGCCCAGCCCAATTTGTCTTACACCACAGTCAGAGAAACAACCAGCGCTTAGCTTAACAACACATCCGTCCCTGGAACAAATTACTAACGTTCCGGCAAGCTCGCCTTCATGGCCTAAGATTTATACAGTTGACACTAAGGCTCTACTTTGCAATAAGCAAATTGGTGACAACGAATGCAAAGTGCAAATACCAAAGAAACCAAGAACAATGTCCAGCTACCTGAGACACCGCAGCCTCATGGTCTTACACGCACCTGAATCCTGTGATTCCAATCCTTAGGTGCGCTATGAACATGATGTCGAGTTTTTGCAAACTCTGATCGATAGACTGCTCGATGTGGATGAGGGCGGGCTCTAAGTGAAATATATCACTCCTCTAGGAAGGAGGACCGAGGGCAAAAGTTAACCTATGAGGGCGACGTTTGCCGAAAAGGCAAGGCCAAAGTTAATATTGTCCCGCCTTAATAGGCTGAAAAGGTCTAAAGATCCACGTGCGCGCTGACTTAAACTCAGCAGACAGAGAGAAACTCAAGTCTGCTATGATTGAACTACAGCGACGCACGGACGATGGAGAAACAAATCTCCGCATTGTAAATTTTCGGGTAGTTACGCGGATTCCTCCGCGAATCCGGATC